CTGACCTCACTGCATCATGTTTACTAGCAGAATTTAACCAACCAGGATAAATCATTGTCTGTGATAGCAACAGGAAGTTAATCCAACAACCTTGAGAACATCATTACAATTTTTCACACATTTTCTATCTTTTTAACGTCTAAGTGAAATCTTATTTCTCTGCTGAAGTCCTTGGAGCTACAGAAAGCAAAACTATCAGACACCTACATATCTCCATCTTGAGTAATAAATAAAAAGCAGACACAACAGAAGGGAAAGCAGATGGCCTTGCATGTGCCCTGAAGAAGATTCTCCAGGTCACATTTGGTAGGTGGTGAAGAAAAACCATTTTACAATGAATTATACCTCTTATAAACATTGTCTTCCTTGTGCTTGTCTCAACAGATGTTGTGTGACACTTTTTGAGTCTGACTCCCAATGTTAAAACAGCTTCATTTATATAGAAATATGAATGTTTAGCATAAGACATCAACAAGGCAAAAGTTCTTCATCTGATAATCTAGATTACCTTTATTGTCAATGGAGAGAAATAGCATGCATCTGACCTATTTTAGATGCCTACCATAAAATAATGTTGCATCACACAAACTTCTTAACACTGACATTAAGGAAAGTTGTGATGACTACTAGCTCAGACAGGGACTTCAACTCTGTAGATGTCTCAGACTAGGTGAGACAAGTCCTGCCCACATCTATGTGGGTATTGCCTTAATGAATCACAACCACAGAAATTTCTCCAATATTTTTAGAGATGGTAGAAATCTGATGTTTTTTGTTTCCTGGCAATACTTGAATGGGAAATGAATTAAATTAAATTCTGTGGTATTTTGAAAATGTTTTTTTCAAATTTTCACTGACATGAAATTTTTTAAGCTTTCAGTTCTTTGGAGAGTGTCATTTTCATGTTCTACTTTGAGCTTTGCAAAAAGTGCACTTCAATATTTTTAAACTTTGAAACAAAAACTGACCTCAGACAGAAAAGGGGACTGTTTCATGTAGAGATTTGTAACGATCTTTTTTGAATTCTTAAGTTTTATTTAAAATGAAACAGTCAAGTCATTAAAAGTAATTTGTCATTCTTGCTGGATTCTTCCTTTTCACAGAAAAGAAATTGGACCTGAAAAACTTTCCAACTCTGAATATCTTCTTTCTAGACAGGATGGTGCTTGGGAGAAAGGTGAAAGTAATCAGTGTGGGGAATAGATGTTCCCTACAGATGTTGATCCTGACTAATAATTGTGTTATCCATGTAACTAGTTCTCTGTCACACTTCATAGGCTCTTAACCCCTTGAGTTCTTGAGTCAGAGTATGCTGCAAGGTAGTTATATAGTATATTAAAGTGTTAATGCAACTTCTAGATTTTGCTTTATGTTTTTTCTTTTTCCTGAGGCTCAGAACTACTAATGAAATTGGGCTGAGACTTAAGTAGGCTTCTGACACTCTGTGTTCCCAAACTCCATTTCTGCTCAGGCCCAAAGATTTATTTCTTCTCTCTCTGTTTTGAATATCTTCTAGAGGTGACACCGAGCCAATTATTTATAACCAATTTTTATTTAACTAGTGTTCTTTGGAAAAATAAAACCTAACTCTATTGAGAATCCCCATTAATTATAATGAATATCTGCTAGCCATAATCAATCAAGTTGCAGTTCGAAAGCACTCCCACTGCTCTACTGCTGCAGCAGAGCCCAAATCCTGAGCCACTTTGTGCTGCTTCTTTTGGCCAAGATGCGCCCAAACAATTTAATCAAACTACTGAAGAATTTTACAGCTCTCATGTCTCTTCTCCTTCAGTAAAGAAACTGCCAAAGGGACATAAATTGACTAGTCCAACATTAAACATGTAGAATGCCTTCTTTCATAGGTCTGGGCAAGTGGGAGAACTTTTAAATTAAAGAAAGACTACAACAGCTGGCTGATGTCCAGAATTGGTCTTTGGGGAGAACTTTATGAGTGGTAACTAACCAAAAGTACCCACAGCCTGGCAATGTTTAGCAGAATGTTGGCAGACACACTGTATAGTACTAATAAATTAGTAATGATAATTAATTAATGATAGTTTGCATTTGTGTGACACATTCCTTGCTGCAATTTACTCATTGTCCTGATAAACATGGACATGAAGAACAGTTTATCTTCTAGTGATCTACCTTTGTGTAGACTGCTTTTGCATCTTCCTCTCATCTCTTCCTCACTATCCCAAGCAAGCTACATTCCATCAATATTTCCTCATGCACCTGAATTTCTGGTCCTCTTATGGCACTCCTCTGGATTCTCTCCCAGTGTCCACAGCCTCCTCTAAGTGCCATACCAAGTGCAGGGCTCAAGGTGAAGCCTTTCCAATGATCAGTAGACCAGAATGTTTGCCTCCCATGTCCCGGATGTGATGTCACTTTTTAAAAATTTGTATGATGTTATTGAGTCTTTCTCAGTTTGTGATCTATGGGAATACCTAGATACTTGTTTGGTCCCCTATTCAGTCTTCTGTCTGTGCAATTAGCTGCTCTTGCCTACCTGTAGAACTTTACACCTCTCCTTATTGAATTAGTCTGTTCATTGCATTTCACCAGTTTGTCAAAATCCTTTTACATTCTCATGTCTTTGTCCAAATTGCTTGGAGCTTTTTGTGTGTGTGTTCTCATCACCAGAATCAATGGTGAAAATATCGACTTATACCAGGTGAAGGATTGCACACTACTTATTATATCATTCCAGTGAACCACTGATCATTACTACCTACAGCAGATTTTATGACTAGTTTTTAATTAATTTTATGGACCTAGACTGTGTTTTCCCCATTTACTTTTGAAGTACCATATGAAACAGTTAAGTTATTAATGTCAATAAATATGGAATATACACTCTTTTTCCCTATCTGGAAATTTCCTTAGATTATCAATAAGAAATGGACCAGATATAAAGTAAACAGTAGGAATGCAGAGAAGGAAGAAAAAGGTAGGACATCATCCTTTGATGCTGACAGCTCCTTGGACCAGGTTAAATTTCACCCTCATCTTCTTTTTCCAAGTAGATATTTATAAAAATATTTGGTAGTTTATTGTAATACTTGTCTGGCAATTGAAGGTGATTGACCTCTTATTTCCTGGCTCTCCTTGCCCTCCCTTACCCCATTTAAAGATTAGATGTTAGGATTGATCTTTTTCAAACATCTGCAACTTGATCTACTCTCCATAGAGGGCAATATCTCCATGATACCTACTAACAGCTCTCAGATTGCTTTAGCAAGTTCATAACACACCTTAGTATAAAATAAATCAGATACAATGCATATGAAACATTTAACAGATCTCTAACTTGCTGTAACTGCAGGATCTCAACATTAAGGGATGAAACAATGCATTGTCCCAACTCATCTACTAATTGATCTAATCCATCTCCAGATCTCTAGATTGTAATTTTGTTTGGCTGATGTTATTTCAGGGAAAATATTTAGGCTCTGTTCCTAATTTTTAATATAGCTTCATAAATATAAAATCATGTCTGTTCCTCAGCCAAGACCAAGTCACAGATATATATGTGAATTGAACCCTCTGGTGGTGGATGATCTTTAACAAAAATGTTAGCCCATAGAAAATACAAAATAAAGCCCATTAGCCTAAACATTATCTAAAGAAGCTTAAGTTACATGTTCTATCTCACGCTTGTGATGGGCTAAAAGGTGCACTGGTTATCTAAAATTATTCAGATTCACAATGATCTATTAAGATGCAAGAACCCATTCGTGAACCTGACCATAAGTTTTATGATAACCAAGAGAAATCTATTAAACATCAATCCGATGTTTATAAATTTAGACAAAACTTCTCCTTTGTTTTATGAATAAAAAACTAGAAAAAAACAGTTGTGAGTTCAAACAAAAGTGATTTTTTCAGGAAAATGCTAAAGTTGTATTTGATCAATGGGAAGTATTTTACTTGACCTGAACTGAAATATTTCACTTCATTTTTGAGCTATTTAGCTTGTCTTAAAGAAGGTTCGTTTTTTAAACATTACCTGAACTTTTACAAGAACAATGCCAATTTGAAAAAAAAAAGGTTCAGTTGGAAAAATGTCAAAATGAAACTTTTTGGCATTTCTGAAACAAACATTTTAGATAAAAAATGTCAACATGAAATGTTTTGACATTTTGAAAAATGTCTCCCTTCTTTGAATCTGAAACTTTACCAAATTTAAATTGAATTTACTATTTGTCTAGAAATTAAGAATTGCTTGTGCTGGTAGTTCTCCTTGCGTAAGCAGTTAACCTTCCTGCCAGGTTAACATTAAAACATCAGCCAAACAACTGTACAAACATATATTAGAAAGCAGTTCTTGCCTTTACTGCAGCTCAGCTTTGGACTTGTTAGTGATTATCTATCTATTTTCACTCTTGCACTTTACAGTCACCAGCTTCCAACCATGCAAGCAGTTCTATGGTCCACAAAGAAAGTAAGAATGAGAGAAATTATTACTGTTTAATGAGTGAGCATTTCCCATTACATTCAAATTGTATTTTTATTTAAAAACCTGACTAGTGGCAGATTTATGAAAGTTCATTCCAGAAAAAATGGTTTATCCATTAAACAGAAGCAAGTCTATAATTCTGAATGAGTTTTAGAGACTGTTATAACTAAATTCTTAAATTAAAACAACCCCTTCTAGACCAAAGTCACAGCATTACAAAATAAGATCACAAGCTGCAGTGAAGTAGTGTTATGAAGTAGTTGGTGCTTGCACTGAATTTTTGGGACATTATAGATACTATATGCTAACCATATTAATTACACATAATTATACAAAAATCAAATCTTATGGTTTACTGAAAAATAATGTTTTAATCTAGCTGAGAAGCTTCAGCTGTGAAGCAGTTACAGTTCATATGCAAGAGCTACTTTTTGCGACAGAAGGAATTTCGCATTCACTTGATTTCACAATTTCTTCAGCCGAAGCCTAAGATGATGCTATTCTACTAGCAGCATGAAATGAAAAGAAACTCTGCCAGGGAACACTAAGCCCACCTCAGACCAGGACCCTGAGTATTATGTAGATGCCAAAATGCTGAGCTCTAGATGCCTGCCCCCTTGGTGAGATCCACAGCCCTGAGTGAGGAGCCTCAGAATGGCAGCCAGAAAAGGCAACATGCTGGGAGGAAGCCGCTTAAAGCAGCCACTGCTAAGGAGAAGGGTGTGCCTTCAGCCGTAGCCCTCTCCAGGCTCCTTGCTTCAGCACTAGTGGCTCATTTCTCTTTCCATGTTGGATTCGGTGTCTGGAGCACTCTTTTAAAGGTAAGTACTCCAGTCCCCTTTTTCACCCCTTAGAATAAAGCAGGACTTGTGCTATCCTTTTCAGTGTGAGGGGGATCTGGGAATAGTTCCTTTTCTGCAGCAGCCCAGTGGTGAGGATCCTCACCTCCAAGTGGGGGAGATGTCCAGGGAAGTGGGTGTGAATCCCTCCAAGCAAAGAAGGAAACTGGATCCACATCCTGACCAAGCTAATCACAAAACAATTGGATAAAGGGGACTCCTCTGCCCTTCTTTTTAACAGAAAGCACTGGTCGCTGATGCATTATGGCAGGCACACACTGAGAGAAACCTTCTGGATTCTAGGGGAAGCAAGTAAAGGAATGGCTCAGCTTAGATTCCCAGAGTAGCTTGGATGTGTGATAGCTGCCTTGCTTCTCAGCCTCACAAAGACTGGTGCACACATTCTACAGGAAAACTGTAGACACTTAGCAAGTTCCTGTCTTTTTTACCTTGAAGTCCCTTAGTTCGAAGGCAGTTGAAGAGTTTTGCTGAGCAGAGTCTGGATAACATGTTCTACTCTGACGTCCCTTCTGCTGCCTCTTTTGTATTTGGGATGTCATATGTGAGAACAAAGTGAGGGGATACGTGGAAGTGCACATTGATTTATCTAAGGGGCTATTGAGAAAGTGTTCATTCACCCTTGGGGGGCAGGGGAGGATGCAGTAACACAGCTGCCTGTCATGAGTGCAGAGACCCACCAGCTGTAAGGAATTAATGACTTCCCACAGGAACACTATGAGAGTTTGAGATGGGGAAGAGGGTGAGTTTCTGCTGGTGTTGATACCTAGGCGAAAGACTCTCTGGAGATGTATTAAGGCAAGTAGAGTGGGCTGAGCAGCCTTTCTTTTAACTCTTGTATGTGCTTTAGTTTAGAGAAGCTTTTCAGTGTTCTAGTAGACAGAATATGCTTAGTATCAACACTTCCATTTCACAGTGGAATATGGCTGAAGATGTTTTTACTTCTCTGAATTCTGATTTCTTACCCTCTTCTGAGTTAAGTATCTGTGGGTTGCTTCTTTGACTGTTAGGGGATTTCTTAACCCTGCTGGTTCTAGTTTAAGTAGTGCTGGGCTTTCACATTTCTTATTAGCTAGTTTGAGGAAATGTAATAATATGTGGTTATTAAAAGTTACCTAGCATTTAGGTGAATGGAAAAAAGGGGTATCCACTGCAATAACGACTGTCCATCAACTGGGCTGTGTTGATCCCTGCTAGCCAGGGTTCAGCCCACTATGTTACCATGTGTAAATCACCTACCTAAATGCAGCAAGCTGTCAGAGCCACTGCGTGCTGAGTCCTAAATTGACACCAAAAGGGAAATTTCCATTCAGGCTGGAAATATAAGGAAATTTAACAGACTAACTAACAGTGTAAAAAGTTCTGAAACAACAATGGCTATTAAATAAAGCCAATTTTTCTGTAGACACTGTCAGTGTTTAAAAATACAAACATCTAGATAATTAGAGGAACTTCAAATCTGTCTTCATAGTGTTTCAGGCAGGATGACATTGTCAGCTATTCTATTTTGTATTGATTCCCACAAAGCTCAGTTATTCCCAGCCTTCCATTTCAAATGCAGCACCTTGTTTTCCTGTATCTTGAAGCAAAGAAATTAGATAAAAACTATTGATTAGCAAGGCACAGAGGGGAGTGATGTCTGTAACCTTCCTTTGTCTTGTAGCTCTGCAGCTGAGGCAGCAGTAATAGGATTCTGTGCAAGTGCGACTGTGATGAGGTCACACTGCTGAGAAGGGAATGAAAACACTGCAGTCAGCTAGATTGCTTGCTTCTCTGATAGTTTTTGATATTGTTTGTCAAATTGTGATTTGAAGGTTATTTCTCTGGAGGCTAAAGTTGCCTTGCTTCTCTTATGCACTTGGCCGGGCTTTTAAAAATCATGCATTCACATAAACACCCCCTTCTCTCTCAAACTTTCTGGCTTTTATTGAGAGCCAAAAAGGTTCCTAATAAGGAGCAAGAAAATAAGTCTCTCCAGAAATTTTTCCATCATTATGAGATTAGAGAAGTTATTTGTTAGAATAAGTTGGATTTGTTTGGTCTCTACCTCTTTTTCCTCCCTCCTTTTCACTAGGGTGCTGCAGTCCTCCTCAGTTCAAAACAAGTTCAATAAACACTTTCAAGACATATGAGCCGTGAAGGGTTATGCTGATTTAGTACATAGTGGCATAGCATTTACTGGTATCATTACTCAAGAAAGAAATGAGGAATTTCCTCATTTCAATTGCTTTGAGAAACAGGCATTTTGTGACCTACCTAGGGCAACTGCAAAACTGTACAGAAAGTTCAGAAAAATGAATAATGCTTTACCATTCTGAATGGGCTCTACTATTTTCATTCTTACATTACTTCATAGCAGTGAAGCAGCTCATTGAGGTGACAGGAGAGAACTGAGGCACAGAGGGTCAGTGCTCTATCTATTGGAAGAGGGTGTCAGGTAGTGTCAAATATAGGATAAACACTCAAGATTACCTGGCCCTCAGGACTCTACTTTTGTACATAAGACAGGCTGCATTCCTCTCTCCTCACAGAGGAAGAAACCACAGAGGGCATGCAATGTCTTCCACTAATCAGACCTTAGGGGTTCTTTCTCCCTTTGGAAAGCTCCCTTGCCCTAGTTCGCCTCCCGTAACAAGATGCTGGAAGATTGGTATTGGAGATAGTTGGCTAAGAAAACCTTCCAAATAAACTTCTGGAATCGCATGGCAGTAACAGGATGCCTTTAGCAGGCAGCTGCCTTGTCTGTCTGAGACTTACTGTGCAAAAACAAGTATGTCAGGTCAAGCTGCATATTTTGAGGTTTGATGTCCCACCCTCTCAAATAAGTGATGTGGGAAGAAGTCTTCTGGGAAAACTCCTTCCTCAGGCTTATTACTGTGGGGTTTTCTGTGGGAAGCAGTGAGACTTTCCCATCCCCTCCTTTACCCCATGTGATGCTCTGTGATCGTAATATGTGGAACTATCTCATGCTTCCAAGAACTCCTCCAGTGCTGAACAAGCACACTCTGGGTGTTTTTCTTCAGTCTTTGTTCTATTCTGTATGATCCTGAGGACATCATTATTCGCCCCTTATTTTCTTCATCCATGTGAAGAGTAATATTTCCTTTCTCAAAGGCTGTTGTGAAAACTTTTGGGTTTTTTAAGTGCCCTACCAGATGGAGGGTGCTACGGGAGAGCAAAGCATCTTGCTGTAATTGATTTGTTTTTAAGGGAAAGCTGATGTTACTTTAGAGATTTTTATTTTTTTTTCCTTCTCGCTAAATAATCTGCTGGAGGGACTGTTCTTTCATTTTCTCTTGCTATTCTTCTATTTGTATCTTCCTCATCACATATATGGCTATGTTTAATGTACTGATGAAGAAGCCCCACAGCTTAAAATAAGAGCTGTGGGTATACTACCTCTAGGCTGCCCACTAAATGAGTCACCAATGACTGGACAACTAGAATCATATAGTGCCTGATGAAGTACCTGTCAGCTGGCTGCTTCTGAATGGATGAAATTAGGTCCTGTTGGTCCAGGGCTGCAGTAGGTATGAGCTCATTAGCATTCAGCATCACCTATATGCTCCCAGAGAGGCATTAGGAATGGAGGCTCAGAAAAAGAGATTAGAGGGAAGCAGTGAGTGGGGAAAAGGCTTGAAATCACATTATTCTTTAGAAAATGGGCAATTGCAATGTACTAAATAACAAACAACACATTCTTTAAATCTCTAGAGGGGCAAAGCTTGGCTGAGAGATCTTTTTTTACCCTGGTTTGTTTCGATGGATAAGCATTTTCTTTTAATTCCCATTTATCTTTTCTTTTGACAGATTTTTTTTTTTCCACCCCCACCCAAAATATATTGCAAGTGTGGCTTATTCACAAGGGCATGTGACTTTGTAATCAGAGCAGCATCTGGTACTATAAAGAAATGAAGCCCCAATCCAGAGTAGTGAGTAAGGTTAGAATGGCATATGAGTGGGCATCCTTATGATATCCAGAGAGAATCTGGCCAAAAAAAAAATCACCTCTACCCATAAGACTTAGTCAAATTTTACGTATAATCTCTTAAATATTCTTGGCTACTCTTTGGCATATTTTCATGGTTGGTCATCTATCTCTTAGTAAGATCTAAAGGACTCAGCCAGGTGCAAAGATAATTGTTTCCTTATTTCAGCCAGCATCTGCTCAACCAGCTGGGTAGCTCATCTGTAAAAGGTGACAGGCTGAGGTAGCAGCCTGCAAATCCTACCTCTTGTGGCATGCAGTCCTGCTGAAAGTCTGTGTAACCCTGCACTGGAGAGCACCCTGCAAAAGAGAATGCAGTTCTGCTGAGGAAAAATTGAAAGGGCGAGCCAGGTACTTAAGGAAATAAACAAGGAGCAGGAACAGTTTGGTTATCACAGAGAAGATGACTGCAGTCTCACAATTTTCCATGTTTTGCTCTGACCCCGAATTACCCTTCCTTCGTATTAAATGATTGTGTTTTCCCCATATATTATATTAATCTGTTTTATTTTACAAGGCTGTTTATCAACAGCCTGTGCAAGTCTTGATTGCCAATTCTCCACATCTACCATTAATGAAGAACCATGTCTACCATCATTTAAATGGCTTCTGTGATCTGTAACTCCACATCTGGTGTTGGTGCCAGTTAGTCTTCTATCCTGACATTCTGTTCTTTTAGCAGATGGTTTGTAGGAAACACTCATCTGAAAGTCAAGGAGTGGCAAGAATATCTAACATGGTAGAGGATGGATGAATACAACCTCTGACATTCTCTGATGCATAGCCCTCCCTCACCCATATTCCTAAGCAATAGTTAACATTGTAAATAAAGAGAAAATGTGCTTCTGACTGAAGCCAATGAGAGATTTGTGTACAGTGTAACTAGAGGACCCAGGTCATATGTTAGATTCTGTTACATTCTTTATGGCTCTGTTGCTAAACAGACATTTTCATTTCTAAGTGCTTGCTTGCTTTCCTTTGTTACCCCAAACTGCCAAAATTAGAGGCATCTTACATAAGAAAGGAAGTCAGTATTGTTTAATTTATCTCAGATTTATTTTGTGACATTTCCTGGATACATTTTACCATCACATTATTAAACAAGAGTTTATTTTCTGGAGGCTAGAGCTTCAGCTTTGGCTATATTTCAGTAAGACAGGAATTTAAATAATGTCAACATGCTGAGAAATTAGAAAGTCTTTCAGGTGTGTTTTGCAGGAGAAAGTTCAGAGCTCCACTATCTCTCCTAATAGTTGGCCTGGGGCTTTTTCAAAAGTATAATCTTATTTTTCCACTCATTTGAAATGTAAACAGAGAATTTTCACAGCAGACAGAGGAATCCATCTGCAAATAATATTTGTTTTTTGGCAATTTGTTTCTTTAATTATGATGATAAATTTCCACTAATTGGCAGCAGCACAAAGAAATATGCTCTTGCATGTCTTTGTTCCTTCAGGAGGAATGGAGAAAGTAGGTCTTGTTCAGAAAGGAATTCCCCAATCCAGTCACATAATTCTTGTAATTCACCCCAGCAAGTGATGAGAAACCCCTTTTTTTCCTCTCCCATGGGAAGGATATTTGGCTATGATTCATAAAATATCTTTTTTGCTTTTGGACAAACCTTGACTGACTCGGGATAAAACCCAAGTCATGAGGGTGTACAAAATTCTGAAATAAAATCTGCCTTTATATCTCAAAATGTTCTGTTGTAATGAGGAAGATGCATATCTATACATTATTTGCCAGAATAAAGGCACATAGATCAGAGGTACTGATAGGCCAGTGGAGTAGCTGACTTAAATCTGGCGTTGTTCACAACTGGGAGACCCTAGGTCAGGCCCAAAGCTCTGAATGTCTCAGATGTGCTTTTTAGAAATATCAACTTGAATACAAACTTTCCACCTTGAATCTGTGTCTAAAGCAATGGATAATCCAAAAGTTGTTGTAGGTTATCTAAATATTTTCTTGGAGATTGGATTTAGAAAATTAATTAATTGATCTTAAAATTTCTCAGTTTTGTAGCATCACGCACAAGCTTGTTATTTCTGCTTTCTAAGTAAACAACAGCTAGAGGTGTGGGAGAATGTAAGGGATGAATCTGGACCTTTTTAAACCTCACATACATTACTTTGCCCCCAGATTGAGCCAGAAGATCTCCTGTACAGACTTAAAATGACCTGCCCTCTTTACAACTGTATCCTGTTAAAATCCACATTTCAGAGTACATGTGCTAATGTTGAGTCAGTCATCCGTTTCTCGGTGTAAATATAAAAGTTTGCATTTAGTACTCTCTTGGCGGTAGGTTTTTAAAATAATTCTAAAAAAACACTCTTTTTGATCCCTTTGTCTTTTCTTCCTTCTCATTACAAAAGAAATATATATGCTTATGTTTATAAATCTATTTAAACTATATACCCTGCATTATGTTTTCAGGCAGATATTTTATGCTTTGGAGAGAGGAAACATTATTTGCAGGACACTTACTACTTGACATATAAATATCCTCTGTAGACTCTACACACTGAACATTTGTATTCATAGGACCACTAATCTGATAGGGGAGAGGTGTGGAGTTTTCTGCCTGCTTTGATTTCACTTCTGCATGCCAATTGCAATGTGTACATGCCCATGTACCATCACTGAAATGCTTTTTGTTAATGTTTTAGCAGGCAAAGGAGAAAGCCTGAAAAGAAGTAAACATGTGGTATGTAAAATGTTTTATACTCCTTCTGCAGACTAGTTCAAAATAACTGTAAAGGATGTTTCATATTCAGAATATCTGAATGGGCCTTGGTTCTGGATAGGGAAGAGGGAGCAGAACTGGATGAACTGGATATATTAAATAGTTTATTCAAAAGCTTTATTCCTTTTCTCCTTTTGGATTTCCCACGACTGAATTTTCTTAGTTTTTCCTCTGGTGTATTGTTTGGCATACGCTTCATGCAAATATACTTAAATCACTGGGCTGGTCAGGAGCCCTTCACATTTCCCTGTTTTATGATGTTTAGTTAGTTATCTTAGCCATATGGGGGTTTCTGTTTTTTTTTGTGTTTTTTTTTTTTTTTTTTTTTTGTTTTGTTTTTTTTTTATTATTCTATGCCTGCTTAATTGTAGCTTTTATGAAGAAATGGAGAGTCATAAAGACAATAAGACAAATCATTCCCAAAGCAAATATAATGAGGGAAGTGAGGAGAAGAGCTGTAGAAATATTTACATGATTTGAATTTTCTGTCAATGTTCCTAAAAATAGAACAAAAAATTAAATAAAGTACTCAGATGATTTGTTAGTGAAAGGAATAAAAAGAATTGCAAACATGAGAACAAATGTTCATTTTTATTCCAAGAAGTAGTTCTTGGCAGTATTCAGGAAGTTCTAATAGAGAAGACAAAATGTAGCTTTTTATCCCACTTAAATCAGTGTACTAGACTAAACAATATCTATTGTACAACGCGCTGAATTCTTCTTTTGTACAAATGTTCAATTAAGTCTGTAAACTTGACAAAGCTACATAAAAATATATTTAAATGACTCAGCAGGTGCCTTTTTTACAATGTGGGCAGTGTATTCTTTCTAGGATGTAACACACATGGTTTTCATCAGATTGCAACAATATAAATTGTGTGGTCAGTGATTCTATGAGAATGCATTCATACACATACCATTGCATCATAATGCTAATAACTTGGATAAAATTCTGGGGATATTTCCTGCAGATTCCTTTCCGGGATTTGAAACCATCAGAGAAGAAACCTCTAATTTAACTGGGATACCAAGAGACTGGTTTAGTCACCTTCTGATCAGCCAGTCATTCTGTACGTCAATGCCATCTTCCTGCAGCAAAAGTAAGTGCTGCATGGGGAAACCTTTCAGTAGTATTTAAGAGGAACAGCAATTACCTAATTACTGGTATGATCATGTTAAAGGTTACATTAATAGCCACCAATGATGATTGAATATGAAGGCAATGGCATGAATGAAATCATAATTAGTGTAGCATGAGGTAGGTGTTATGTTAAACATGCAATGAAAAAAATATTAACAATGATGCACAGGTGAACTAAAATGGTATATGTGTAAGTTAATATGCAACAATCCAACTTTCAGAAGACAAGAGTAAGCCTTACATTTTTTGCTGCTTTTAAGAAGTTAAGCCCGTTACAAGTTATATTCATCAACTAGGAAAGCATGTGCTGTGTATGACACACTCAAGATCTCTACTCTGTTATCTTTGAGGTGCTCTATAACTTGCAACAGTGTAGCTGTGTTTGGCACTCAGCTCACTGGGTTTATCTTCCCTAACCATATGCAATGTACTTGCTTTCCTATGAGTTCACCAGTTACTGAGAAATAAAGAGAAATTCAGACAGAGTAGAGGTACTCCAAGCCCAGTGGAGCTTTTCGGGCAGATGATAGATCAGGTTTGGATTTCCACTCACCAGCATGTCTAGGAATGGTTTGATATTCTGTACATTTCACATACATGTGAAAAATTTGCTTCTATTGAGTTAGCAGAAAAACACCAATATTTAGGTTGCAAAGGTTTCCATCAACACTAAATAGGTGATTTTTCTTTGCTACAATATATGCAGTGCTAAGATGTCATTTTATGTCTGCTATTGATTTCCCTGATGCCACCTTCAAAACTGGTGATTACAGCTGTATCTTCCCTCTTCTATAAATGTCAGTGTCTCCTAGTGAGCTCTAGAGCCCACGTATTTATGTTTCTGTCTCTGCATGCTCTTCTTACTTGTGTTTCTGTTGCAAAATTGCAATACTACAGAATTTCTAGAGATCTGGCACATAAATGTATTTTCAGGACAGCAGGACAACTGACCTTTTCTTCTGTGGGTCAAAGAGATGGCATTTAAAGGAAGTAGAGTTTTACAATAGAAGAAAAGGGAAGAAACTGTCACAGTTAAAAAACCTTAAGGTCCCCTACTATAGAGAATTTAATTCAGTTGCCTGGATCATTCCAACTGTAATATAAAAATACAAAATGTCTTGGTCCTCAAAGTATTTTTTGCATACAAAACACTCTCCTGGGAGAGTATACCCATCTCCATGTACTACTCGAGGTAGAAACTCTAGTTGCCTTATGCAGAGCGCAGTGGGTTTCACAGAGCATTGCCTGACAGTGAGAAATGTGCCAGAGATATTTCCAGTACCGAACCTGGCCATTTGTCATGGAGCAGGTGGAACTTGATTTGCTTGAGCTTGTTGAGAAGGAAAAATAAAAGAACTGAAATGACCCATTTGTTTTATAAATCCTTTTACCAGTTCTAGTTTTCTTCAGTCCATTGATCTTTTGAACTCCAGTCAAAGATGGAAGGCTGCATCCTTCCAGTATTTTGCTGTAAAATATCAAGTAAAAGGAAATCACAGTATAAAAATGCCTGTTTGCAGTGAAATCAATTTATTTTGGTTGATTTAAGTTTCTTTTAATTTGATTGTTAGGCACTGGAACAGAACTGTAACAGGAACTCAGTTGTCCTCATGGAAGGTACTAGAAGGGTGTATGCATTGCTTGGCATGCACAGTAAGAGTTCTGAAAAATATGCTCTTTTGTATGTATCTCTGCCTTTGGAGATAAAAGCAAACAAAATCTGAATTGTTCCAGATGTGAAAGAAAATTCCTCTGGTTGCCCTACATATGACACTAAAAGTGGGTCAGTTGATGATTGTTAAGGCCTGGTGTACGTATGGTGTGGGCGAGCAGGAAACAGCACACGAGGAAAACTCAGTGCTGGGAGCTGAGACGTGAACCACAGCAGTGAGCAGCCCTTAGAGGCAAGTGTTCTGCCTGTCAGCTCCTGTCTGTCAGGGCATGACTGCAGGTGTTTTTCAGATACTTTAGTGTGAGTTTCTCAAGCTGCTAATTTTAGGGGACTTTGATTCTCATTCTAATGTTGGATTTGAACAGAGATGAGCTGTTTATTGCTGTTAAATAATCAACATATAATTCAGTTATTACAGCACATGTACACATACTGATACAATCTTATCAGACAGGGTGAGAAATGTTGCTGTTCAGGATACTTGGCTATGGCCCTTGGCTCTTCTAATACAAATGTCTTCTGGACCCTGTTTTGGAATGAGGCTATGAAAGTTTGGATCTCCCTGCCCACACTGTTTTCTCCAGTAGACAGATGCTTGCACCTGATTACCTTAGTTGGTGGCAGTGCTGTTGTTTCCCAGGTTGTTTGTGTGTTCTGATATTGGATAACTTCTATTTAGCTCTTTCATCATAAAACACATCTCTGGGAATGAGTAGTACTGTCAAACACATTGCTCCTTTAGGTCAACTCCTTTACTAGTGCAGGACAGAATCTTGTATCTCTCAAGCACATGCCTTTCTTCCATATTTGTGCTCTTGCATCATTGAAAGACACAAGGTAATGGAAATTCACTTTTGAATTCCAAGTCACATATCAGCTAATTTCTAAACCCAAGGGCATTTTTAAGTATCACTCTTTTGGAAGACTGGATTACCAGAAGCAGAGTTCCCAGGTCAGAGTATGGGAGGCAGGAGTGTCAAAGAATTCTACTTTGACTTCTTCCATTCTTGGTGGCATCTTGTACAAATATTCAGCCTTGTTAGCAATCATGTATCCTAGAACTGATAAAGGTGACTTGTGATAGATGCCTGCCTCCTCTTATCTCAGATGTCTCTTTGAAAAGCTCCTTTGGCAAGAAGCCCAAGTGCAAACGAACAATTCTTCTGTCTTAGACCAAACTTCTAAAGAATCTGAAAAGTTAACAGGCTCTGCTGTCTGGCTGCTATTTCTATTCCCTCCTCCGCTGTCTGTTTTCTAGACTGTTTTTTAATCTGAATGTCTGACTGCTGCTCATTTTGCTGATGCAAAACCTCTCGATATCCAACAAGAGAAAGGTTCTCATTGCTTTCAGCAGTCTTTGGATCATGCCATCAGCTTTGCCTAAGCTTTGGGTCTGGCTCTGCACAGTTTAAAGTATTTATAGTCTCTACCCCAAGTCCTTGTCCAGTTTTTCTGAGTTCACTTAACTCTATATATATGAAAGGTACCAGCTGTATCCACTACTAACCAATAACACAGACATTTAATGTAGGAAGGAAGGAAAAAAGGACATTGTATTATAATGTTTAACTTGTGAAACAAGAGGAAATGTCTTCAACCTGTGATTCGTTTGGGTTGCATAAGCTATGAATGAGGTATTGTTAGAGGAATATTAAATATACATGTATATATTAAATATTTAACTTGATCTTTGTTCAGTTTGCCTTTCTTGTAATTCTTTTTCAGTGTTCATAGAAAACAAACCTGATTTTTATACTGCTTGCCAGTAGTGACCTCAAATTTTCTGTTTGTGTTAATAATATCAGTTACCTGCACACAAGTCATGTTGAACTTTGTCACTATATTGGAGGAGTACTTCTTGGAATATGTCCACAATACTTTTTGCCATTAAAGCACTCCCTATTGCTTGAAATAGTCTGTGAGTAGATTTGCTGTGGAAGTTCTTAATTATTACTTTTTTTTTTCTTTTTCAGTAAAAAGCTTAAATATGCAACTGTTCCATAACTGAGGCAGAGAAGTTAAAAGAACTCCAGAGAAATGCAATTATCAGTACAGGAATGAAACATGAAATGTCTTTTCACAACAGTCACTGGAATCACCAACTTTGCTGCAGACCACAAGTATATTTTAAACCCTAGATTAGTGTATACCCACAGTATGTCCCCTACAGCTGTGAACTGCTACTCTTTGTTTAGGACTGGGCAAACCTCCAGTAGCTATGTTCTTACAAGGAATGCATTTTCCAGTGTTTTGATTTAATGACTATTATTCAAGCTGAAGTCAGTTCCTTTCTCACACTATTTTAGGCTGTGTGTGGTAAACCTTTGTGCCACTGTTCTCCTCAAAAAATTCTGGTATTTTCTTTTTGTGCTAAAACCAATACAAATTATACCAAGCCCTGTATCTTATGAAATAAATGTTGGTCATCTTCATAATGAATAAATCCTAAATTTAAATGAATCTTGCAGTTTGGTATTTCTGCTGGCCTACTAACCTTCCTTTTTATTGCTGCTGTTCGATGCAATAGTGTCAGGAAGTTCCTGTTACGTGTTTGGTGATGTACAAATAGAGAACAAAAGGTGCCTGTCCTGAAGGCTGAAAGTTTAGAAGTTTCTATTGATTGAATAAATATTGGACATTTGCCTGTTCTTACCAGAAGGTAATACATTAAGGCAACTGTTACCTGGACAGATAAACAGTGAATTCTGAGGATGGCAAAGAATTAAGTATGGAGAGAGACTGGCTGTAATGGAAGGGTAATGGGGGGAGGCAAGTGTGTGACACTAATGTTCTTTCTCTCTCCCTTTGTTTTTATTTCAGCATGATACTTTATTAATCAAACTAAACAGAACTAATATGTGTGTTTTCCAGCATTTATTCTATCCCTGTGTACCTCTGAGATAGTTTCACATCCTTGTTCTCAGGGTGAGGAGTGGATGCTGGGAGGCTGCAGTCTTGGTGCTACAGGACTCTTGGACCATCTTGTCTTTCTCACTTGCTTCCAGGGCCTTACCCAAAGCCTGTCTCATGTAGTGAGAAACCCTTCAGGAAAGTGTTTGCCTTACTTAATGGGCCAGATCTACCACTGCAGTTCTCAAGACCTGCATGCTAATCTTTCAGTCCTTATTCTTCATTTAGAGTGGATTAACATTTCCATTTAATTTAAAATTAATAAAATGGAACATTTTATTTTTTGAAACTATGTAGGGAAAAGTTTTTTAATTTATATTTTAACATGAAAATCTCTCACATTTTTTTTATTTTTAGATCTTTTTTTACACATTCTTTTATTACACTTAGTTACACAGTAGGGTAATTTTATTTTGAAAATTTAAAATTTCTTAAAAGGAGTATAGTTAAACCATATGCAGGAAAAATGTCTCATCGGAAGGAAGAACAAAACTAGTTAAGAAATCACTGCAATTAAAAAAATATATATTTGACCGGTTTTACACTCTATTCAGTGACAGCAGCTCTGATAAAATGTATCTAATTAACACCCAGCAGATAACAATTATCTTGTATAATTATGATGAGCTTGTTTGTTCTTTAATTGACAGCCTAAGCAATGTTTTATGATGTTTATTTGACCTTGACGCTAATCTGCACCCTGCTACTGTGAGCTGCCAAATGCATGGCTGTTTGGATTTCCATCTTCTCCACTTGCACTCACCACTTGTTATCATCGTTGTCATTCTGCAGCACGATGTGTCCTGCGCCATTTCTCTGTGACTGCCACAGTGTCACTCTGATCCCTCACAATTGCTGTGGGGTTGCAAACTGTTGCCCCTCTGCTGCCTGTCCATCTATGTCTGTGTGTAAGCAGTGTTAAATAGCTGACTCTCTAAGATCCACAAAACAAAATATGTCCTATTACTTGGAACCAGACAAGTTGTTCACTGTCAGAAACTAAATCATTGAATGTATCTGATAGTTTTACATGTAGTTGATACAGATTTTACAATAGACCCGCAATCTGCTTTCTATTAAAAGGTACCAGATAGTTCAATAACCAAACGTCTGTGCTGACAGAACAGATGCGTGTGTTTTTTGATGCATCATGAATACTTTGAGAGGATTTTAATTTTCTCATAAAGGCAGAATAAAATTTCTTTGCTGTCCTGTAAATAATAAAGTCTTGTGAGTTGGTACCTGGCTGCTATAATATTTCTTACAGTAATACTGCATGATGCTCTACCTACAGCCTGTTCTTTTTATTAAGGGATGCCTGGGATACAATTTCAAATTAACTTTCAAAATAGATTTTTCCCTTTCCTAGAGAGAGGCAGACCTAATTAGATGGGCATTGTGGGGAAAAAGTTCAAGTAGAAAGACAGCCACCTGCCTCAGATACTCAGAGATGACTAAGGAGGTCATTGGTTTCAAGCCCAGTCTGACCAGATCACTTAATCTATATGACTTGATTTTTTTTTTTTTTTTTTTTTTTTTCACTGACAAAGTGGGGTTAAGTATGACTGTCCTACACCCTTTTTCTGTGTGTTTTATTATGGGTAAAACACTGTCTTCTTGCTGTGTATATTTTATTGCACTGCATCTTTCATTTTGGGGATATTAGTGCCTTCTAACTAAAGGACACTTCTGCAATTCTGTTTCTAATGGGGGGGTGGAAAGAAGTCCTTGTGAAGACGGAACTTGTCTGGATATTCCAACTGGATTTACGGTGCTGGTGTACTTTTTAATGTTTGCAAACAGGGAATCTTTAAACAGCTGGCTAGCAGATCACTCTTCCTGGCACAGTGGCTCTTAATGAAAATCTTTGTCCCAATTCTTTCATTTGAAATGTGGCTGTGTTACTTAGAGCATTTGTTTTCCATCTGGAAAGGAAGAAGGAGCTACTCCCTCCTGAATTCTTTTAAGTCTTCATCCAGAATACTCTGGTATTTTTTTGCTCCTGTTGAGGAATCAACCATTTCCAGTGGCCACTAGCTTGGAAAGCAAGTTAAGTCTGCCAATTCTCAGTTCTAATTTTTCATCCCCGTTTTTCATCATAAGTGTTCTGAGTGTTCACAAGCTCCTGTAATGTTGGTTATACTGTAACATACAATAATTAGACGCCATCTTAGGAAAATCAACTTGTGTATTCTCAAATAATGTGAGGATTATAATGTAATCAGAGAATAGCTAATGAACAAAGCTGTCATTCCCCCATGTTGTCTCACCATCCTTGTCCTTGAAGATTCGGAATGAAGGTATATCTGAAATGTGAAAACTGATGCAGTCTTCCTTTGCATATGGTGTACTGAGTGAACCAGATTTATGTTGGGGTTTACTTATCTGAAACCATTTTAAAATTAATTTAATGAGGAGCAAATAGGAAACATCCCCAAAACAAGGTTTTATCTGATATTTCTGGATTTTGGGGATTCCATTAGAGAGGGTAATAGCCTGGGAACAGCTTTTCTTATCACATCATCTTGTCCTTTTCACTTCAAGGCAGCATTAGAAAGTGCAGTGGTGCATAAGACTTAGTAATAACTATTATTATTTGTTAAGCATTGTCTTATACAGCACTGCGAACATTGGGCTTCTGTCCTACATGGATCATTAATTTGGGTATGCAAGATTTTTCAAACAGTAAGTGTCCTTGATGATTAGAGAGAGATTATCACAAAGTGCTGCATTTTTAATTTTTTTTCCCCTAAATGAAGGAACTGAGTTTCAAATTGAATCTAGTTAACTGTAGTAGACTTCTGGTTTGAGGATGAGATAAAGTATGTCAAACCACTTAACTAGGTCCTCTCTCAACATAAATTAAATGTTTGGAAGGAGATGTAGAAAAATCTTCTGCATGGGCTATCACGGTTTTATGTCCACAAGGACATGAAATATAACCTTCCAATTTAATATGGCAGTATTACCAAACCAAATTCAGGTGATTGGGTTTTCAGATGTTGTGATACATCACCTTCCTTTAGGCTGATATCTATCTGTATTCAAAAGCCAAGGTAATGGACAGCTGGACTCTCAGCTTCATTAATTGAGGTATACCATTTAAAACCAAATGATAAAGATTTGGGCTGGCAGGAAGTGAGGGTTTCATGTATTATTTTTTTTCTCCTGAGCGAGAAGGATTCTGTAGAAGCAAATCTCCAAGTTAAATCAAGGGAGATATGTATATCTACTACTGGTGCATAAAATAACAAAGGAAATAAAGTCTAGGGATGTATCTAATGGTTTCATAGTAAGAAATATCCTGAAGAGACTTTATAGTATTATTTGACCTTTAAAGTAAACCAGAATTTACTCAAATGCCATAGGAACAGATTATGTGCTTTGTGCCTTAGAATTCATAGGGTAACTATTGCTAGAATTAATAAAGAACAATTTCTCAGAAAAAGTGAACATATGGCTTGTTATTACTGACTTCAAGCCACAATCAGAACACTATCTAAATAACTCCAGAATACCAGCAGTACGTTCTCAAGCATCTTGGTACATTAGAGCATGACTCCTCAAATACTTTGGGACAACGTATGTTCCATTGTCAATCTCTAAACAGTGTTGTCTATGTTCTGACTTCTAATCCCATTAAAATCCTTTATATTGAGGATTTGATAAAGGTTCTGTAAAAAAATTAAGTGGGCTTGAGGTGACATTACAAATTTTTAGCTTGGGAACATTTTCAAAAACTGAAAAATTAATTAGTATCAGTTCAAATACCCACAAGTTTTGTTTTTGGTTTTGGTTTTGGTTTTTTTTTTTTTTTTTTTGTGGTGTTGGCTCTCCTGTCACTTAATTGGTCTGATTCTTTTTCAGTATAATTTTCCAGTCCTTTACTCATGTTCCTTCAAATCTTCATGAGTTGAGTAAATATTTGCAGTGGGGTGAGCTGAGAAAACCTAAGACTTGCAAAATTTTTCCCACTCACAGGGAAAAATATTGCATCTTTTTCTCCCTAAGTTTTCTGTAGATTCTAGAGACCAGATGACTCCCAGCTAGCTCTAGCTAAAGACATTTTTAAAAGTTTTCAGAGACGCATGGAAGAGTGTATACTGGGCTGCTTCTCCCACCAGGTTGCCGTGTACCTCTGCAGAAGGAGAGGAGTTGAAACCAAGTGCACTGGGCAGGAGTCTTGGAGCATTGGGAATTTAAATGTCTAGCTCATCTGATTTGGCTATAAGCCATTTTATTCCTCTCCTTTTGATTGATGTTTCTATTTAAATGCTTTAAGAACTGGGACTTTCTCAGCAGGGGTTTGTACAGTGCATTGCATGAGGGATCCTGACCTTGTTTTGGGCCCTTCTGTGTTTATGAGAATGAAGTAACAATATAATAGCTTATTATATGTTGAAGTAACGTTTTTAAAAGCTTGTATCTAACAAATAATATTGCTCCAAGTTAGTATACGTAAAAAGGGGGGCTGACTTCACCTCCCCTTTCTTGGCCTGTGCTGAGAGGAAAGAGGAGAAACTCACTATTTGGGAGGAAGAAAGAATGCACTGCCTTTTAAAAAAGAAAAGCCAAAAAAGAGACACAAACCCCCCCCACAGAAGTAAAAAAAAAAAAAAAGCCCCAAACCCCTAGGCTCCACAGTGTGGATCATAGCTTCATAGCTCTTTGCTGAACCTCATTCTGCAGAGATTTCTGGCTTCTTGCTACGTTTTGAAGCTCTCTTGCTGTCTTGCTATTAAAATTATCCTTAGGAGACAGCCTTGTGTCTTTACTTGGCTGCCTTTGCTTTTTTCCCTATTTCTTTTTTTTCTTGATGAGTCATTCTACCAGCTTATACCCTATCATCAGATAGACCAGACAATGAAGTCACTGGGGTTGCCTGAGAGAAAAACTGGCCCCATTATCCACAACCACTGTGTCTGCCTTGTCACTGATAATACACCACTCAGGGCCTGGCCTTCTAAGTATGATGGAAAATCACCAGGAACAAGAAATACTCCTACTCAAACAAAAATATTTGTTGAAGTCTTTTGGAGTATGTGTTTTAAATTTGGTGAGATGCTTCCAGCTGAAAACAGGAAATCACACACAAACAAAACTGGTGTTATATTTTGTCAATGTAGGAGGGAGAGTAAATTATCTGATAGTGTCCTTTACGTGCACCAGCTTCAGCATTCTGAAATTAGCAATGGCAGGAAACTTTTATTAGTCTTCTAGTACAAACTAAAAA